ATATTCGTGTACGTGAGTATACTTTACACCAGAAGCACTTTGCACACATTGACATACCCGGGTATAGTGTTGTTGCACCATCACCACAAGCACTACCAACACTCACCCCCCGCTTACGTCCACTCCTGTACATGAGTTTACCCGCCCAGCCCTTATTGAGACTATTATGTACACGAAAGGCCCCACTACTACTATTTACACTGACACTGCGCGCTCCACGAGAATGTGGATGAGGAGGCTTTGTGTATGCATGCGAACCCGGGTTAAGCGCCGTGGAATTTCCAGGATGGGGAGGGGTGTAGAAGCGTGAGGTAAAGTCGGTTGGTGAGATGGGTCGGGGGTTCGATGGACTTCGCAATCGTCTCTGTGTAGAGGACATATTGAGCTCACTCTCTGAGCCAACGTTTGTATAAGTCGCACCTGATTGGTCGTCTTTAACTTGGTCACCGGGGACTGCGTCGATCTTATCAATGGCTGTGCTATTTATAGAACAATTCAGCCTGGCCCTTTGCATCGTCAATAGCGAGCGCGAGGCACCCTCCCCGTCGCTGCCAGTTTCACTCACGCAACTCTCAGTGGAGTCAGTACTGTGTGCGTGGCTGAGCATTCGTCCGGTACCTTGGTTGCGCACACTACTCTGCTTCATGTCCGTGTCGGTGCCGGTGTCATTTTTGCTGTCATTCTCATCACTTGACACCTCGTCACCTTCGTCCTCATCTTCTTCGCGGATGTCGTCGACGGACATGTATCTCGAGGGAGTGGGCACCGTGGTGGAGTCACACTCGTCAAGCCGCGACGATTCGCCTACTTCAACGATGAAATATTTGCAAGCGAGCATAGAGGTTGATCAGAAAGATTGCACACAGCCACATGTAATACTACGCTGTCTGTTTGGGTGGGTTATGTGTCTATCAAATTTCGCTATAATCAGGCACTATAACTTGGCATATATATGAAATCAAGCGAAGAATATACAACTACTGAGCGCAAGCAATTAGTCTGTTGCAATGAATTGCAGCCGATTTTATCTAACGTCACCTTGTGAATAAAATATAACTGGGAGAACTCCCACCACACTTATAACCACATTAGTACTATACTTAAATTATATGTCTAACATATTTTTATCTCGTTTGAAGCTTAGACGACGTGTGCACAACCTTTTTCTGCAGCTTAGCTGTTCAAATCCAAATTTACCTGACATACCTTGATCATCATTGAACATTGGGACTGCCGCAAACATTTCAATGTGACTTTTGCGTCGAGTGAAATCCGTCTGTGTTTTCGTCGGGTTGCATTTCTGAAGTATGAAGTAAGGAGGCATGCATATTAGCAAATCCTTTCGATATTTTGAACTAGAAATACGGGAAGATGCAAAGTATCGAAGATAGCTCTCCTGAGAAAGTACTGTACACCTGTTCAAGCTGTTGTAGGCTGTACCAAATATAGCATGTCGGTACATGGCGGATAACTTGTATTCTTTTGCTACAAACACGTTTGAAATTTGCATGCATCACTCAAAACAAGGGAAGAAAAGATCATAATGCGGAATCCACTTATGCCAGAGCTCTTTCATTATATAAGTTCACTGCAGTCAGGACATGATGAAAGAATAAGGTTGTCTGCACCTTATTTTGTTGTAAAGGATTGATGAAGCTGTTGATTCTAATAGGAATATATACAAAACAAAACGACACAAGCAATTGACAGATACACTCCTTCACATACATTTTAAACTCTGCCAGCCAACGCCATATGTACGCTCTGTTTTAGGCTGTCTGTGAGATCCATGCCTACATTTCCATATTAGAAGATACCATAGTTTCTCACTCTAATGGTTAAGTATAGTCACACATTCAACTATTTCTTCGTCTGTCATACCCGTCATCCTCACTACCTACACCGACTCCCAGAACTACAAATAGCAGCTCCCGCCTACTTCGCATTCGTTCCTAAAATCTACCTACACTAACACACCCAACAAAAAGCAACCTGCTCAGCTTACCTTAAAAATCGGCTCCGTGTGCCCTGAATCGGAACGGGCCAGTGCCTGATTTTCATCGGCCTCCACTCCAGGCTGTACCAGAGCCACGAGAGCATCTGCAAGTGCCTGTCCGCTTCTCAGGCACTCGTTGTTGGCACTGGAATCACTGTGGCTGGCCATGACATCAGCCTAGCCGCACGCAGACTCGGAGGTGATCAGTCTGTGCCTCTGAAGGTACACTATATGGCCGTTGAGTGCCTGTGAAGGCGGGTCGGATATAATAGAAGTTAGTTGTGTGACGAGTCCGTGTTACGAAGTGTACGTTATTAAGCCGGTGTATTGCCTTAATTTGAGATTCATTAGCCTGTGGGTCAGCTACAGAACAGTAGTCGCATTACAATCCGACACTCGACTGGTTATCAAACTTAAAATCTCCATTCTCCAGCCATCACATCAACATACAGACGTAACTCCATTTGAGTGACTTTACTTGCCACCCACAAGTCTGTCATTGGTGTAGTTATATTGGGGTTCTACGTGCATGTCCATTCATGAACAAATAGAGCAGCCAGCATAACAAGAGCTTATCCGGGCGACCACAACTGCAGGCGTTCATAGAAGAAAATAGACGCGATTTGTGTTCTCTAACGACAAATATTAACAAATTGCTCGTGTGTTTAAGAAGTAAATACTGTAATTTCTGGTCGTCTTTCGAGGTAGGACGTGCATTCGCCTTATTGACAATCAAAAAAAATTGTGAGTGGATAGTCATCTATCCGCACACATAAATATATATATATATATATATATACTATTACATATTAATGTA